CCCTTGAGGTTTCTCCCACTGCTCAAACAGTTCTCCTTCCATAAGGGATATTTACCTTTCTGGTTGAGGAGGGGAAGAAAGAGGTGAATGTGGTAATTGGAGGTTCCCTTGGAATGGCACTTTACCTTGAAATCTAGCTCAGAGGTTGAGATTCCACCCTGGGATAGGTCACTCTGCCTTTCCATCATCCATTCTCCTGGCCCCAGGGAGGTTGGGTTAATTTTAAGGTTGAATCTGAGGCCACCTTGATGGGAAACTCAGGAGGAACCGTTAGATCCCCGGAAGGTAGATCCAACACTTTTAACCAGGTGGCACCTTTTAGAGACGTTTTATCCAGATTAAGTCAGCCTAGTATTTTAAATAAATACTGCCAGGGCCCACCCTAAATCTGACCCTTGCTAGAGCAGCCAGAAGATCAACCTATACAGGTTTTAACTGGCCTGGAGATTTAGGATAAATCAGAATTGTAAATTGGTAGTGACTCAGAAGTAAAATGATGGCTTTTCCCAATCAAATCTGAAATGAGTGGACTAAAATGTAAAAGGATTTTTATGGGGGGCTGAATGCAAATTGTGTAAGATCAAACCTGTTCTATACAATTGGGTTGCATGATCACTGGGCCCATACTGAATTGAGTGCTCAGGATGGACTAGGACAGATTTTCTTTTTTAAGTTTAGCTACTCGTGTCAGCCTGGACATGAGTATGAACGGATGTTAAACTAGCTGAGCAGTCACCATCCATCAACACCATCCTTCTATGACCCATACTTGTGGGATTGTTATAGGAGAAATATGCATCTTTAAAGAAGCTGCCAACTATGAATTAACTGCCTTAAGTAAACATCCATCTGCTTTTTTAGGGCTAGTCTCACAGCAAATAATGGGCATATTTACCAAACATTTCTGAGAAACAAGGAACCATTTGGGAACGTGCAGTACAATTTGGGAGAGCAGCATACTTGCAGTATGGTGACTTCACTGGGTTGTAGAAAATGGTGTGAATTGCAATCATGTGAGCCAGGGATTTCCCTGCATTGTCAGCTACCCCTAGGCATCTTTATGTTCTCTTTATGGCTTTGGTTTTTCTGGGACTAACTATCAGTCCTTTGAGGTCTAAGGATGAAGCTTACAAGCCAGGATTGTAAAAACAAGTGTATCCTACTATCATTACTAAGGCATTAACTCTGCATTCCTTTGCCTGGAGTGGGGAAGATGTTTGGATGATCCACTTTAGTTAATCTGGGAAAATGGCAGGCTGGCCAACATTAGAGTTAGAGTCTATGACCACGGCATGGAAGATTTATTGACCATGACTTTGACCAAAGGTTCAAATCCAGTTTGACCTCATTCAAATTTATGACCTTGGTTTACTGGGGGGATGTGTTGGCCAATTAACCATCCAATTCAGTTCAAGGATTATGTACTCTTAGGAGTCCTGTTTTTCTCAGCCTTTAAAACTGAGGTACCTATTTACTATATTGTCATAGCCCCTGTATATATGTTGAAATCATAGCTTTTATTTCCCTTTATTGTATCTCTGTTTCTTTGCCCCCGGTTCAGGACCTCCCCCAGGGCAGGGACCACAGATTGCTTGTTTCTGCTTTCTTGCTTTCTATCTCTGTGCCTGGTATATACATGGTGCTCAATAAGTATTTTTTCTTTTTCAATTGACTGGCTTCTCCTGAAATGCCCTTCTTTTTCTCTGCAATTTAACCTGCATAACAACTACATTTGAAATACGTGGTTGGGTCTCCCAAATTTGCTTATTTACAGACTGGGTGAAGTTTCATCTCAGAGAAAAAGAATTTTAAATGCATATTTCATTCTTGAATACCAATTTCAAAACATGTGAGATGTCTCATTTCTTTCTTCATATTGGCTCACAGAAAATTCTGTGCTGTAATTATAAGGCATGGACCCAAGCTTTTAAAACATCGTTTGAAAAATATTTAGGTTCTATGATATATTTATGTCATCAAAAATTCAATGGATAAAAATCCATGTGTAAGTCCTGTGTTTTAAGGCAGTTGCACTGTGTAGAATGTGCACCTCGCTTTGAGTCAGACAACTGGGGTTCTCTTCCTGGCTCTGTCATCCATGAGATTTGTCACACAGGGAAATTCACAGTCTCTAGGTATGACTGAAACTGACCCCTCTCATATAAGATAGTCAAGATGGGTTAACTTTTTAGGATTTACTTAGTGCAAGTTTCAATATCCCAAAATGAAGATTTATATTACCCTGTTGTGAAAATCAAAATGAGTAAAATAGTGAAAGTGCTTTGAAAATGCTACGTTACCAACGAAGGCTCTAACAGAGGTTTGTTGAGGGTTATCAGGATCAGAAAATGATCCAGGTATTACTCATTCTGTAGTTGGGTTTTGAGACCGAAGGGAATTAACTAAGCAATAGACTCAAAATCTGTAGCAACTGTTTGAAGTTCAGCAATAGGTTTGCTTCACAGTCTGACCCCTGGTGGTATTGCTCCCCAAAAAAAACCAAACCTGTTGCCCTTGGGTCAGTTCCAACTCATAGCAACCTCATGGGTACGGAGTGAAACTGAGCTCCATGGGTTTTCATGGCTGTGATCTTTCATAAGCAGATAGCCAGGATTGTCTTCTGAGGCGCTTCTGGTTGGATTCGAACATCAACCTTTTGGTTAGTAGTCAAGTGCTTAGCTGTTTGCGCCATCCAGGGACTTCTGGTGGTATTGCTAGAACCTCTCAAACAGAAAGAGAAGACCACATAGAGTTAGCGTGGGCTTCTCATTCAGTTTTCTGTATATGAGTTTCAAGTTTTCTGTTTCAAGTGTGTGTGGTAAAGGCTTCTCCCTCCCCGGTTCTTTATATCTCACATCGAAGATTGTAATATGACTCCCTCATTTTAAAGCTTGAACTGAGATGTTCTGTTGGTTACTATGCAACTGAAATTCCATCTGGCCCATCAAGCACCCTTGTAGTTAGGGAGGTTCTTGATTTTTGAAAAGGACTCATCATTTCTTGCCCAGTTGAGACAAGTGACTAGAGACTACCTAGTACCATTCACCCACCTGTCTGTCTGTCCATTCATCCGTCCACCTAACATATATTGAACATTCACCTTGTGTAAAATAGCGTAGTAGTGGGGTGGACGGTACTTTTATTTTATATTTAACTTACTTCTTCTCTATAAGATGGTTGGCCTAGGTCTCTTTTCTTTCAGGACCAAACCTTAGCTGTGTGTCCTATGACCTGGTTGCCATTTACAGAGTATCTTGCAGTACCTTATACAGAATACTGAGTTGGAACAAAGTTTGAATTTTTTCCCGGGATGAGCACTCCATTTGAACAAATGCTTTCAGAATAATGGCTGTTAACATTTACTGAGCACTTATTATTTGCCGGACAACATCCTAAGTGCTGATATAAACCATCTCATTCAATTCTTTCAACCTTATGATGTGGGTGATATATGAACCAGTTTTACAGATGAGGAAACATATTCAGAGAAGTTCAGGAATGGGTTTGCTGAAGACAATCCTAGTAAGCTGGAGTGGGGATTCAATCTCAGGCCGGTTGGATTATAGAGCCTGGGCTAGGCTTAATACAAACTGAAATGATAATATTAACTATTAATGGCTAAATTTATAACATGATTACCATGTACCAGGCACTGTTCTAGTGGCTTTGCATTCATTGTCCCATTTAATCCTTACAACAACTGTATGAAATAGGTCTTATTGGGAAAAACCTGGTTATAGTTTGTTTATTTTTTCCATGATTTTATTCAAGTAAGACTAGAGTTTCTAGCCCAAATAAGCAGGTTTCTAAAATAACTGATGGAAAACTCCATATGTCCTCTGAAACGATTTGATGCTGAACCATCTTTAAGATCAAGAGCATCCAGCTTAGTACACTGACGTACCTGGGCATTTTAATATCTTTCTATAGTTTTTCATTCTCTTCTCCATTCCATAGGCATTTGTCTTGCCTGAATTATCCATATGGTGATATGGATGAGTGATTGTGGTGGGGAGGACATAAAAACCCTCCATTTTGCTTTGTGTTACTAGACTTACCCCCATGATGTGTGAGGATCTCTCCTATTTCTTTTATAACAGGTCATTCACGGCACTTGACCAAACACAGTTACTCACGTGAGTCCTCATTTTATGGCATAGATGCCTATACATTGTTTTAATCCTTTAAAGGCCTGGATAATTGGTCCCTGGTGAATAACAATCTATGCACACATACTGTGATTTTATATATAGGCAAAAATTGCACCAAAGGTGAATAATAGACATTAAATTAGATCTTTATCTCCCTCATCTTAGCATTCTTCTATTTGCAAGTATAAATATGCGGTCTTCACCTAGGCCCAAATACCATTTCTAAAAATTATATATATATGGCCTACTCAAGAGGCAGATTTACAGACTGATTTTGTGTTACGTGGTGGTTCAGAGATTTTCCATCTGCTTCCAGTCCAGGTAGCTCCCCCGACATGCCCCTGGAGGTGGCTCATTGTGCACACGCACCCACCCGCCCACAGGCAAGCTCTCTTTTATTTCCTCTGACACCTACAAATAGAACAGCAGGGGACTTCAAAAAGCACAGAAATGCAGCTTGACCTGCAGGCTGAGTGCCTGTTGTTGGTTATTTCAGCTCTGAGCTGTGTGGCTCATGCCCTGCAAGCTGATCAGTTTCTACCTTTGGAAGAGGCAGGACTGACTAAGCATATCAGGGGCCTCTTAAGATGCCCCCCCCCCACACCCAGTACATGCACTAATCAAGGACGGGTGTGTTTTGGGGGAGCCCTCTGATCGTGGGCACAAACTACATCCCAATATCGGCCTATATAGCAGAGCCAAGGAACCCCTCTGCAGGGCTGAGAAAGAGACACAGAGAGAGAGAGAGGAAGAGAGAGAGGAGAGGAAGTAGGGAAGGGGGAAGGGAAGAGATTGCAAATAGGCAATGAGAAGGCCACAGTGTTAAACTGAGCCAGAAAGGATACTTACTGCTGACTAACTGGCCCACGCTCAAAGCTGAAGAAGAGGAGGATGAGGAGGAAGAAGAGGAAGCCTGCCGGACGGGACTTTGAGACATGGAGGCTTGGCTGGGAGCCAGGTGCAGAAGGTTGCTTTGGGAGGCTGCTTGACCCACTGACGTCTGGGAGGGTTGGTGGAGCTACATCGGGGGAATGTAAAAAATACACAAATGAATGAAAAATTAGGGGAAAAACTCCAAGGAAACAGAAGTTTCAGATGGAGTTGAATCATTTTATTTCCAAGGATATACACTTCTCAGGAAACGTGCATAGTTTACAGAATAGGCGAGAATTTTTATGTATGTAGTATGTTGTCGCTTACTTGACAAGCATTTTATTAGTAATTCTAAATATATTATTAATTCCCTACTTGGCTTGCTGGAGCATCCAATTTTCTACATTTCTCCACCATGGCTTCTGGCGGGACCCATTCTGCTATACAATCATAGCTGACTTGACAGGCTTCTCAGATATGTATAGATAAATATAGCGCCTACAATCAACTTGGAATGCAAAGCTCAAACTTTGCGTGGCTGCACCAAACCATTATATCCTCTATCACTGGGATTTAGGGAAAGTTCCAGTTTAGGTAAAGTGTGTATGATATAGGAACTTTCTGTTCTCCTGACAGAAGAGTCTGGATGGATTACTGTGGAGTTGGGAAAAATGCTCTCTGATAGCCTACAGAAAATTAAGAGAGAAATTAGAGGAGTCGGGACAAACCAAACAGTCGACTCTGACTCGTGGCAACCCTATGTGTGTCAGAGTAGAGCTGTGCTCCATACTGTTTTCAATCGATGATTTTTTGGAAGTAGATGGCCAGGCCTTTCTTCCAAGGCACCTCTGGGTGGACTTGAACCTCCAACCTTTTGTTTAGCGGTGGAGCACTTAACCATATGCACCTCCCAGGGCCTCCTCAAAACAACAATAGCCAGTAATGTTTGTAGCTACCAGTTAATTGCTTTCTTACTCTGTAACAATCAATGTCTTAAGGGCATTCCTGTCCCATCTCGTGTAATTCTCTCCTCACCCTGTGATGTGGGTGCTATCCTTACTTCTCCTTTACAGATGAGGAAGCTGAGGCACAGAGAGGTGAAGTGATTTTATAGGTTCTTCCAGCTACTGTGCTGCAGCTGGAATCACTCTGGGGCCTGAGCTCTTAGCCACGATGCCACATGTAAGAATGAAATGTCTTCATGTACCTTTATTCATCATTCCCTTCACGGGTTATTAAAGGACTGTGCTCTGAGAGGGAAGAGGGGCTCAGCCGAGGAAAGGAAAGAGAGAGGAAAGGGAAATGATTTCGGTGCTGGGTCCTCGTGGAGGCCTGGGGGTGCCCTCAGCAGTAGCCGCCTTTGTCAATTGGGTAATTTTACCCTCCACCCGTCTCCCCAGGTACAGCACTTCGTGGTTTACAAAGTGCTTTCACATCCATCATCACACTCAGAGAGGTACGTTGTTAGCTGCCCTTGAGTCGGCCCCTGACTCCTGGTGAAGCCATGTACAACAGAAAGGAAAGCTGCCTGGCCCTGCAGCATCCCCATGATTGGTCGTGGATCGGACCATTGTGATCCACAGGGTTTTCATTGGTTGATTTTTGGAAGTAGATCTCCAAGCCTATCTCCTTAGTCCATTTCAGTCTGGAAGCTCTGCTGAAACCTCTTCAGCATCATAGCAATGTGCAAACTTCCACTGACAGACGGTTGGTGGCTGAGCATGAGATGCATTGGCTGGGAATCGAACTCAGTCTCATGCATGATATGGCAAGATTTTTATAAAAGGGAGACAGTCTGGGAGCAGAGCAAACCGCAAAACAAGCACCAATCCTTGGACATTTTCTCAGTATCTAAGGGCCAGCCTGAGCTGTTTCAACTTCACCTTTTCATTGCTTTCCCAATGTGTGTGTATGTTTGTTCGGTTTTTTTTTTTAGTCAATGTTATTGAGATATAATTTATACATACTAAAACGTACCCATTTTAAGCATCCAGTTCTATGAGTTTTGTCAAATGAAACCTCCACCACAATCACGATACCAAAAACCAAACGAAACCTGTTGCCGCTGAGTCGATTCCGACTCATAATGACCCCATAGGACAGAGTAAAACTGCCCCATAGGGTTTCCAAGGAGTGGTTGGTGGATTCGAACTACTGACCTTTTGGTTAGCAGCTGAACTCTTAAAAACTGGGCCACCAGGGCTCCTCTGTCAAGATATAGAACCTTTTAATCACCTTATAAAGTCCTCTCATCCCCTTTGCAATCAATACGCCCCAGCCCCCAGTCCCAGACAACCGCTGATCTGCTTTCTGTCACTATGGATTTGTCTGGCATGATTCTAGAGGTGGAATCATACAGTAGGTACAATTTTAATATCTGGCTTCTTTTGCTTGGCATACTGCTTTTGAGATTTATCCATCTTGTTGTGGGTATCAGTAGCTCGTTCCTTTTATTATGGAATAGTATTCCACTGTAGATAAACAGCCAATTGTTTATCCATTCATCTGTTGATGGACATTTGAGTTGTTTACAATTTGGGCTATTAAGGGGGTTTAATGAATAAGGCTGTTGTAAACATTTATGTACAAATCTTTGTGTATCCTTCTGTATTCATTTCTCTTATGTAAATATTGAGGAATGGAATTACTGGATCATACCGTAAATGCGTTTTTAACTTTTAAAGAATCTACCAAACTGATTTCCAAAGTGGTTGTACCATTTTATATTTCCACCAGCCATGTATGAGAATTCCATTTGCTCTACATCCTAGTCAAGACTTGGGATTGTCGGTCTTTGTAGTTTCCTAAAGTGTTTTTTCCATTAAGTTTTCATATTGCCTTTAAAACAATTGTTGGTAAAGTGCTACTTTGGAGAATGTGCTTAAGGAGCTATTTTTCCCCTCTGCTTCCCCGTGGTAATGCATTTGCTCACCTAATCCAGGTGACATCTTTACGAGGTAGATATGCCTGGCATGATTATGAGAATTTTAAATTTGAAGACACCAGTTAGATGAATAAGGAAGACTGAAGAAGAACTGATGCCTTTGAATTATGGTGTTAGTGAAGAATACTGAATATACACCATAGCCTGCCTGAAAAATGAACAAGTCTGCCTTGGAAGAAGTACAGCCAGAGTGTTCCTTGGACGTGAGGATGGCAAGACTTCATCTCACATATTTTGAACATGTTATCCGGAGGGACCAGTCCCTGCAGAAGGACATCATGCTTGATAAAGTAGAGGGTCAGAGAAAAAGAGGAAGACCCTCAAGGAGATGGATTGACACAGTGGCTGCAACAATGGGCTCAAGCATAGCAACAATAATGAGGATGGCGAAGGACCAAGCATTGTTCTGTTCTATCGTACATAGCATTGCTATGAGTCAGAACTGACTCGGTGGCACTTAATGACAAGTAACAGATGACTGGCCCAAGGCCATGGGGTCTTCTGAACAGCAGAACCCAGTCTCCCAACTCTTAGTTCAGGGTTCTTCCCGGGATGCCAAGGTGGCCCCTCCTACAGAATTGCCTGCAGGTAGATTTCAAGTAAGTACCCTTATTGTTACTCAACTGTGCTAAGAGGAGGCTAGATAGTGATGCAAAGGTAGTAATAATCAACATGGGAACCCACATTAATATGCATCAAGCAACTGCTTAAAGTAATTAGCCAATCTGCTGAGCACATAATCAACAATTGAATCCAGTAAATTTTATTCTGTAGGGACACACATTAAAGATTAAATCTATTTTTAATTTGCTTAATAAAATGTGATGTATATTTGCATGTCAGTCTACTCCGGCTAACCTATTGAGCTGTCCTTCTAAATACTGCTACTTGACAAAAGCGTTTTACAGTTTGAGTTACTGAATCATGAGGTAGTCTTCAGTTTTATCATTCCATCAATATTTTATTGGCCCTGGGTGTGGTAAAATACCATCAAGGAACTGAATAAGACAATAATCAATTTAAATATTTCTCCTTCACACGCAATGCAGTAAAGGAAAAATTACTAGGCTGCATCTCACGCTGTAGTCCCTGAAGTAAGAGGGGGCTTATGCATTAAGCTATGCAGGAGAAGAAATTCGAGAGGAAAATAAAATAGTTCTCTTAAGAACTTGTTCTACGTCTACACAGTCAAAGAGAGAGATGAATCTAAGGTTCCTAAGAATCTAAGAAAGAATCCAAGCTAAATAAGCATTTTTTTGTTAAGGACACTGGTTTCTTGCTTACCCTCCAGAGTTCAACCAGACAGTTCAGAAAGACCAATAAAAATTCTTAAATGTTCTTACTTGTCAAGAATCGGGAAGATTATATAAACAGTAGCATCCCAATGGAGCCCCTGTGTCCCATTCCACTTGCCAGTGTAGACATGTATCTGTTAATTCTAGAATCACTGCTAACCCTGATAGAACAGCCTAGAGATCCACCTCTCTTTTATAACTCTTACTCAGGGACAGAGGACAGTAGAAATACCACTTCTGTTATCTCCTGTCCTAAAACTACAATTCTTTTGGGTAAAATATGAAACCTAGCATTAGTAATATCAAACTAAAATTTGATATTCTTAGTTTAATATTTTTGGTGCATTAATCTTTACTTTTTATGCTGAAACAATTTAGGCTTTATATATATATATATATATTAAAAAAATATATATATATGCTTTAAATAAGAAAATACAAAGCAGAGATTAAGACTACTTCATGAAACAACTCTGTGGTTCAACATAAAATTTTAATATACTTTAAACAAACAGCACTAGGAAAATGTTATTTAGTTTTATTTAATTATGTTTTTTCTCAGATACTGACTTAACTGTGAAAATCATATATTCTTTAATTTTGCCTAATCATTGGCTAAAGAAATAGATATGTAAATATTCAAAACATAACTGTCCACAACAACTGGAATAGTTTATGCAAAGAAAATGTAGGGAGTTAGGGAATAACTAAAGCATGAGCATAAACTTATTCCTTAAATGGAGAGAAAGGGAAACTTAGAAGCTTCTATAAAGGGAAATGTTTTATTACATTGCCTTAATCTTGAAAGGCCAACTATATGGGTCCCATTTATTGAATTCCTCCCACGTGTTTTTAACATCTATTGTTTTTAATTCTGGCAGTAGCCCTCTTTGCTAGGTGTTGGTG